AAAAAAAAAAAAAAATGAGCCGGGCATGGTAGCGCGTGCCTGTAGTTCCAGCTACTTGGAAGGCTGAGGCGGAAGGATCCCAAGAGCCCAACAGGTCGATGGTAGGATGGCTGTGAGCGTACTACTGCACTCTAGCTTGGGAGACGGAGTGAGACTCCAACTCAAAACAAAAAGAAAATTGCTGTATTCTGGAAGAAACAAATTTAACCAGACACTGAAATATTAGTAGGATATAATCGCGTGTTGCAGCACGTGTTGGAACTTCATTCCTTTGTGTGGCTGCACATCATCCCAGTGATGCCGGGTGGAGAGTGGCAAAATAAACTGCAATCATTACAATAGGCCCAAATACAAGGAACAATCCAAGCAAGTGAGGGCATATGGTTTTTAATAGTGTCCCAAAAGGTGTTTGCGGCAGAAGGTCCTTGTGTAAAACCATGGAGCCAGTTAGCCCTGTCATAACTTTTCTTTAGCTCTTCTTCAACTTGCCCAGTAACATTTATGTAAGTACGCAGGTTTTATTAATGACTGCATCCCTTCTTAAGCAGTAAGTAGAGAATTAGGTGAACCCAGGTATACATTTTGACAATTTAGGTGGTGGCTGATTACCTTTTGTACAAGAGCTACAAGGCCTGAGGTTACCAGCATAATTTAAATGATAAACTTGAATTTCTGTGGCTTTATTGTAAGAACTAGCTTTTAGAGTTTCTAAGGCATTTCTAGACTATAGTGGCAACGAGAGAGGAGATAGCTAGAGGAAGGCTAGGCAGACAGGCAGTGGGTTCCCCAGTAACAATGTAGTGAACCTCTGCAGGCCTCTCACTTCCACTAGTAAACAAGCTCCCTGGGAACCTCTCAAGCTAGAGCTTAAGTACTCACTGCTGGGATAGAAAAACAACCAATCGACTTACAGCTACTGCTAGCCAATAGGCTCAGTCTTAGGGCTATGTAAGTACCGGTTTCAGTTCCAAATTGGCAACCCCCTGGGTCCCCTCCCACTGTGGAAGCTTTTCTGTCCTCCCAGTAAATCCTGCTTTCTCACTTTCCAGCTGTCCGTGTCCCTGATTCTTCCTGGGCACAAGATAAGAACCCTGACCTGAAGAACTGCAGAAGATAGAGCCAAAGAGCCATGCACCCCAGAAGCTGGCTTGCCAACTGACAGAGCTGGCTGAACTGGGAATGCTGCTGGAAGAAGACTCCGAAGCTGAGACACTTCTGGGGGCTGCGACACTCTCAGGCCTTGGCTTGCCAGCCCATTTGAGCCAACACTTCCCGGTCTAGGCTTACCAGTCCCTCGAATCCGCCCTCTCTGGGGCTTGCCTGGCCAACCCATTGAGCTGACACTCTCAAAGCCCAGGCTGACCTGAAAAATCCGTATCAGTAATCTGACAGATTTTTCTGGACTGTAATTTGAACCAGGCACTTGAGTGAATCTTATATCAAATTTGAAGAGAAACCCGAAAATGTTTGGAGACTTGCATCTAGAAAAGATTTCATGATATAGTTAAAACTTAAAAACAATGAACAAGAGCATTTAAAACAGGTGTACCAGTTTCTTTTTGAAACATAATTTTTTCCTTTTCCATTTTTTTCAAGACTAAATTATAGTAGTATTAGTTGACTTGTTTAGACTTAATATACCTTATTTGCACATAAAGTGTAATGAGATTATTTGCCATATAGGCTTTTTAAAATTGGCTTTGTCAGAACTTTTTTTTTCCCATAAGGAATCTCAGATTAGATTAAACCTTAATCTTAATTCTTTAGTCTGTTATGAAATACTTTAGTTAAAGTCTCGGTAAAATAACCAGTGTTTCCAGTCACATTTTGTTACAAAAGAAAACATATTTTTATTGAACTTATGCAAACAGCCACACTGTTAGAAATTAATAAACAGTTATTTTACATTTTGGAGAAATTAAGTAGAGAGAAAAATATATGTTTTAAATTTTAATAAAAAATAATAAATTTTAATAATAAACTTATTAATAATAAATGTTAATAAGACCATACTTATTTATGAAAAAAATTGCAAATTGCTCCAAGAAAAATATTTGAATGTGGACTCTGAAAAATATAACAAAATAATTAGCAATACTTTAAACAAGGAAATACTTTAAACAAAAACGTTATAAAAATATTTGATCTTTATTGACTCAGTTGATGCAATTAATTCTTGTTCTGTTAGCAATCCAATATATATTGGATTAGCAATCCTCATGAGCACACACTTTTTTTAATAATCATTCTGGGAGATTTGAAAATTGTTAGCAATTTGCACTGAATGATACTATAGATTTTAGCTAACTTGACTATGCGTGATTAACCTTGCATAGACCTTTAACAGCTTGAATTTAAAGATACAAGTTTACTGACAATTTAAATACAAAAATTATGACAGAAACAAAGTTCTATACTTTAAAATATTTAGCAGAAATGATATCTAACCAATAGACCAATAGACTAAGACAAATATTTAAATTTTGAAAGCATTTTATTTTACTGATTTTAAAACTAGTTACTAAGGATTGACTGATTCGGGTTTTTTGTTTTTTTTTTTGAGTTGGAGTCTCACTCTGTCGCCCAGACTGGAGTGCAGTGGCCGCTCCCGGCCACCGCAGCCTCAACCTGCTGGGCTCCAGCCTTCCGAGTAGCTGGAATTACAGGTATGCGCTACCACGCCCGGCTGATTTTTTGATTTATTGTAGAGATGAGGTCTCGCTGCCCAGGCGGGTATTGAACCCGCGGGCTCAGGCAATCCACTCACCTCAGCCTCCCAAAGGCGCGGGATTACAGGCTGAGCCACCGAGCCCGGCTGATTCGGGTTTTAAAAAAGAAAAAATACTGTTACTTTGACACAGTGGCATTTTTGCCTAACATCAGTGGTTGATGTTAATGGTTAATTCATAGACGTAACTAATTTTTTTGTACACTTGATTGTTCAAAGAATTCTTTTCACACAATTCTTTCCACGAACCTCCCACATACCACATCTTTGCCTTTATATCCTTCTTTACCAAAAACATACAACTTTCAACTTTCTTGATGTCTTTCCCTTGCTTTCTGGTTTCTTTTTACCTTCTTGTACATACCTAACTTTTTACATTCATAATTTGAATTAACTTTTTAGTAACTTTTAATTAGAGAATGGGTGAAACGTCTAACTCTTGGAACACCCCCAACTCCCACTAGGGGGCAGGGGTCAGGAGAATGAGATCCAGCATGAGCACAAGGGTTGAAAACAGCCTCAGTATTGTAAAAAAATTAATTTGGGCCCCAGTCACATCCATACAGACCCAGGGATCCTCTGAGGTGATGGCAAACAGCACCGGGCTGGGTTGTGGTCCTCGGGCCCTGTCAGTGGCCACCATTACCGAGTTAGGTATTCCTCCTTCCCTCCAGGAGAGGCCACACCGGTTCTTCCAGTGGCCTTCTTGTCTGCATGTTGGACAAGGTGTGGGGGGGTGGTTAGGCCATCGAGGACAATTGTGCCTCAAGTGCCCAGAAGGATCACATCCATAGTAGCAGATGCCATCCCCCTCAGCAGGTCTATTCTAACTGGGTGTCTGTTGGGTGACTAAAGTGTTGCTGCTAATGGAAACTGCCAATAGGTTTACCTGCTTTTTGTCTCACAGGTGCTCATCCTGGAGTCTTTCTCTTTTTTCCTCAATGTCTTGGTTGGTAAAGACCACAAGAGTTTCCTGTAATTGGAAATTTGATATTTGTAGTTCTGAGTCAAGCCTCTGAAGTTGGGTATGTAATATCCTATAGAATATTATCTTGTTTGCAAAGTAATGTAATACATCAAAAAACGCTTCCACATATGGAACTTCTGACCATTTCCTTTCATGCCTACAAAATGAATCTAATTACCAGATGGGATTAAAGCAAAGAGTTCCATTTCTTTTCCAAACCTCATTATCTGCTAACTTGTATTGAGTCCAAATTTGATTACAATAATGCATTAATTTTTAAATTTTAAACTTCTTAACTCTAATTTTTCCCCGATTCTTTAAAATCTATCCCAATAGGGTGAGGGTATAGATTGAGTATTACCCATTTTCTTGTTCACATTCCTTGGAAACCCAGAATTTTGCCTTTGAACCCTTGTGAACTGCATTCCTCAAAGGAGAATTCTGCAAAAACAAAGGCATAAACAGTGATGCCAGGCATCCCTGGAGCCCTGATGGCCTCTCCTGAGCTGAGGATCCCCAGCCCTCCCCGAAGCTTCCCTCCACTTCAGTATCTGTCTGTGTAGGACTTCCCATACCAGTAACCTCAAGGCTGTGAGCCAATGAGGTTTAATTTTGGATTTTTCAACAATGTCTTTGAAATGGTCTCATATAAAACCCTTTTGAGTGGAACAGTCCAGGTAGATATGAAAAGGTCTGTCCCTACTTCTTTCCAGTTGCGAACAGGCAAATTTGCTAAGACACTTTACAAATTAATAAATTATGATTTTAGTTGTGAGGTGTGAGCAATTAGGTGAAAGGTCTCATGTTTCATTATGCTACAGAGAGCACCCAATATCTCGCCTGTCCCACAGGAGAAATACCGGGCTTAGTAAGATGACCTAACTTAAAAAAAAAAGAAAACCTTTAGCAAACCTTACAATGCTAACAGTGGTGTGGTGTTATCCAGCACTGAATGTTAAAATAGGGGCTTAAAATATGCTACCCACTTCCAAGAGAACTTTGAATAGGTTTACAAAAACAGTTTATTGCAATCACTGGCCAGGCCTAAACCTTGAGAAACAGATTCACTTCCAAGTAACCTGAGTGCTAGCATTTGATAATACGAACAGTCTAACTGCTTAAATACTACAGAAAAGGCCGGGCTCAGTGACTCAGCCTATAATCCCAGCACTTGGGGAGGCCGAGGCAAATGGATTGACTGAGCCTATGGGTTCGAGACCCACCCAGGCAACTTGGTGAGACCTCGTCTCTACAATAAATCAAAAATCAGGCCGTCGCTCTCCAACGCCAGTGCCGCCTCTAGCTCACCGAGCTCCAGCCGAAGGAGAAGGGGGGTAGGTAAGTAGAGGTCTCTATGTCATGGCTTGCACAAAGCAGACTGCTGGCAAATCGACCGGTGGTAAAGCACCCAGGCAACAACTGGCTACAAAAGCCGCTCGTAAGAGTGCGCCCTCTACTGGAGGGGTGAAGAAACCTCATCTTTACAGGCCTGGTACTGTGGCACTCCGTGAAATTAGATGTTATCAGAAGTCCACTGAACTTCTGATTTGCAAACTTCCTTTCCAGCGTCTGGTGCGAGAAATTGCTCAGGACTTCAAAACAGATCTGCGCTTCCAGAGCGCAGCTATTGGTGCTTCGCAGGAGGCAAGTGAGGCCTATCTGGTTGGCCTTTTTGAAGACACCAACCTGTGTGCTATCCATGCCAAACGTGTAACAAGTATGCCAAAAGACATCCAGTTAGCATACCGCATATGTGGAGAGCGTGCTTTAATCCACTATGATGGGAGACATTTCATTCTTTAAAAAAAAAAAAAGTCTCTTCTTTCTGTTATTGGTAGTTCTGAACATTAGATTTTTTTTTCCCCCATGGGGTCAAAAGGTACCTAAGTATATGGTTGCGAGTGGAAAAATAGGGGACAGAAATCAGGTATTGGCAGTTTTCCCATTTTCATTTGTATGTGAATTTTTAATATAAAAGTGGGGACGTAAAGCATTAATGCAAGTCAAAATGTTTCAGTGAACAAGTTTCAGCAGTTCAACTTTATAACAATTATAAATAAACCTGTTAAATTTTTCTGGACAATGCCAGCATTTGGAACTTTTTAGAACAAGTAAATTTCTTATTGATGGCAACTAAATGGCGTTTGTAACATTTTTATCATACGGTAGATTCCATCCATTCACTATACTTTTCTAACTGAGTTGTCCTACATGCGAGCACATGTTTTTAATGTTGCCTGTCTCCTGTGTTATTCCTGTAAGTTTGCTATTAAAATACATTCAACTAAAAAAAAAAAAAATCAGACGGGTGTGGTAGCGCGCGCCTGTAGTTTCGGCTACTTGGAAGGCTGAGGCAGAAGGATCGCCAGAGCCCAGCAGGTCGAGGAGGCTGTGGTGGCCGGGAGCGTGCCACTGCACTCCAGTCTGGGTGACAGAGTGAGACTCCAACTCAAAATAAATAAATAAATACATACCACAGAAAAACATTCCGTCCCCATGCCAAGTAGGAATCCTTCCCTCAGTCCAGTAGAACAGTGAGGGTAAAGCATGAGAAAAAGAAGTGGGTCTTTCGGAGTTGCACAGAAGTGAACTCTGGCTTCATCCACTCTGTGCCTCCCATTAAGGATTGCTGGGTTCTGCACGAAGTAGGAGCTTGACTCCACCCCTCCTCTGCTCACCTCCTGTCAGGGATGACCAGTAATCTTAGCTGGAGGGAGCAGAAACTGAGCGACAGGGAGGAGAGTCTGTAGGTGACAGTGAGAAAGAAGAGGAGTGAAAAAGAAAATGGCAGAGGCTACAAAGACAGAGGAAAGAGAGAGAGAGAAACTGTTGCCGCCATACTTACAGATCACATGGTGCTGGCGACTGCTGGGCTTGCACACTGGGTACAAGATGATGCCAGGTGGGGAGCAGAATGGTGCAAAACCGTGGATTCTTTGGCTCATTTCTAAAATGAATTTTAGGGCACTGGCAAAGTATTCAAGCAAAGTTTATTACAGAAAGAAGGAAAACAAAACATGCCAGACTTGGCATGGGTGAAAGAAACCGCACTTTTGCTCTTTACAATAGACCTGATATACCTTCACAATGATTGACATGCTAAAAAGAGGATGGGACCCAGGTAACCATCACTCTGGAGATTGACATCTCTGAGCTCCTGATGGGAGGAGTGGGGGATGGTCTTTTCCTGACTACATTGTCTTTTGCAGGAGACCTGCCAGATGTTTCCGATTCACAAGTTCCTTAGCTAAAAGGTGTACACGAAAACAAAACTTGTGGTGCGGCAGACCATTCCCAGAACTCATAGAAAGAGAGAATTAGGCTTGAAATTCACCTTAAATAAAGGGATGGAAGGTAAGCGCATCTATCCCTTGAACAACATGGGAGTGAACCGTGCAGGTCACTTACATGTGGATAGATCTTCTTCCGCCCTTGCCACTCAGGCCCTCCCGCTCTTTCCCTACTCAATGTGCAGTTGAGGAAGAAGATCTCTGAGATGACCCACTTCCGCTAATGAACAGTAAACATTTCTTCTTCCGTATGCTTTTCTTAAACACATTTTCTTTTCTCTCGTTCTATGTATTGTAAGAATACCGTCTATGATACATATAACATGTAAGATATGGGTTAATCGACTTCTTAGGTGTGTTAATTGGCTATTTGCTATTGACAAGGACCTGGCCAATAGGAGGCTGTCGGTAGCTACATTTTGGGGGAGTCAAAAGTTATACATGGCTTTTCAACTGCGTGGGGGTTGATGCCCCAATGCCATGTTGTTCAAGGGCTGGCTTTAACGTGTATTGAAACACTTAGCCTCTCACACCTAGGTGACTCACAGCTAACACCATTCCACTTCTACACTCCCTGAAACTTCCCGGAGCCTGTCATGGACAACGTGGGATCTATGCTCATCAGGACTCACACAGGCAGAATAGGTGAAGTGCCGGTGGGTGAACGGGTGGACTCAGAGGGGCAAACTGCCCTTGGGGAATGAGGTTGTGGGGCACAGGGCGGCTGGGGCTGACCTTGGAAGAAATGACTCCGGCATCGCTTGGATCCTGGGTCAGGAAACACTTGTTGAGGGCTGGCCTGGGCCATAAAGAGGGGAGCCATCAGGAATGGACCCAGCCCTGAGAGGGTCACTATGGGCTCTCCATTTGTGTGGGAGGGTCCACTTCTGTCCCTCCTTCCCCATCCTGTCAGGACACTTTGGTCTCAGTGTCCACCTAGGCATCCATGACAGGGAGTGGGCAGTCCCTACACCTGACTGTCCTGGACATGGGGCAGATGGGTTCAAGTCCCAAGGAGATGGTGGGAAACACACTGTGTCACCCCAGAGTCAGTCCTCATATCCAGCTCAGGGTCAGCTGGGGACAAGTGGGCAGTCCTCGCACCTGACTATCCTGGACAAGGCAGATGGGTTGGTGGGGATGGTGGGAAGCACTGTGTCACCCCAAGCACTGTGGGGTAACTTGGGGACAAGTGAGCAATCCCTGAACTTGACCATCCAGAACAGGTGTAGATGGCTTCATATCCCTTGGAGATGGTGAGAAAGATATTGTGTCACTCCAGGGTGGGTCCTTTCCATCCACGTGGGGTAACAGGGAACGAGTGAGAAGTCCCTGCCCATGACTGTCTGGGACAGGGACAGATGGGTTCAAGTCCCATGGAGATGGCAGGAAACGCACTTTGTCCCCCCAGGGTTGGTCTTACCAACCAGTATGGGGTCACTTGGGGATGAGAGGCAAGACTGAACTTTGGCACTCTGGCACCAAGGGGCAGGACCAAGGTCAAGAATCTGGCCCAGGACACTGAAGTTCAGGTGTGAGGGGCAGGTGTGAGCTCTGCAACCAGCCCCAAGGATGAGACAAACTGAAAGGGAGGGGACAAATGGAATGAGGGGACAAGTTTTGTATCCCTTGTCTCCTACTCCAAGAAGAGACATGAGGAGGGCCAGCCCCAGTCTGTTTGAACCCAGAGAATCTTCCCCAGTGCTATCATTTAACACTTCCTATTTCACTAGTGTGTCTTTGTGCTCCCAAGGTTCAGGAATTGTCTCCATCATTTCAAGATGGCCAGCCATATTGTCCAAGAAAACGAAACTCGTCTAGGAGGCTGACCAGGCCCCGATAGAGGCTAAGGGTATGACCACCTATGATTTGGAGTATGGAGGTAAAAATAGGTGGGTAAAGGGGTCCAGAGGCCTGTGTCAGCCCACAAGGACAGTTTGGGCTCTTTGTACATGGAGCATGTGGGCGGACCAGAAGGAAGGTCTGTCCAGTCTTCTGCATGTGGAGCACATGACCAGCTTGTGGCCCTGATCACTGCTTTGGATTTCACCTTGAACTTGTTCAAACACCTTATGTCCTAAAGCAGGTTCATGGGGTTTACTTGGGTTTCTTGTTTGATGCTTGCTCCCCAGGGCAGATTTCCAGAAGCGCCCGACCAGCACATGTCACCTGGGGACAAGTAGGAAGTCCCTGCAACTGAATGTCCAGGGCTGGGTCAGATGGGTTCATGTCCCAGGTAGATGCTGGGGCACACACTGTCATCCCAGGGTGAGTCCTTCCGACCAACATGGGGTCACCTGGGTCACTACGGGTGGGTAGTCCTTGCACCTGAATTTACAGTGCAGGGCCAGATGGGTTCAGGTCCCATGGAGATGGCAGGAAAGACACTGTGTTATCCCATGGTGGGCCCTCTGATCAGCATGAAGACACCTGGGGACAACTGGGCAGTCCCCACACCTGACTACCCAGGGCAGGGTCAGATGAGTTCATGTCCCATGGAGATGGCAGGAAAGACACTGTCACACTGCCATCCCAGGGTAGGTCCTGCTGATCACCTGGGGACGGGTGAGTAGTCCTCTCACCTGAATGTACAGGGCAGGGGCAGGTAGGCTCATATTCCTTGAAGATGGCAGGAAAGACACTTTGTCACCCCTGGGTTGGTCCTTCCAACCAGCATGGTGTTATGTGGGGATGAGAGGGCAGTCCCCACACCTGACTGTCCAGGACAGGACCAGAGGGTCCAAGTGCCATGGAACCTATCAACACTCACCAAGGCCAGGAACAGTCCCACTCTCTGGTCAGAGCCCTGGACACAGTACTAGGAAGAAGAGTCAGGAAGTCCTTGCCACAGCCAGAAGAAATATTAGTCTATGACTGTGTGGGGCTCTGGCCCGACTCAAATGGTGAAAACAAGACTGAGAGGGGCAAAAGTGTTCCAAGGAGCTATGTGGATCCCAGAACAAATCGCAAGAAGATTTACAGGAATACAAAATTATGCAGCATACAGCGAGGTAAAATTCACAATGTCTGGCATCCAATCAAATATTCCCAAACATGGACGTTGGAACAATTTGAGCAAAAATTAAATAGTATGGCATTGGATTACAACAAAAGTATAAAATAAATATACATGAGCCCACACTGACATAATTAAACCATTGAATAAACAAACAAATGAGTAGAAGAGACAAGTCTTTCTTACAAGGAGATGTTCCCCCTTCCCTCTGCATGTGGGCTAGATTTGGCAGTCGCTCCTAAAGAAGTGTAAAAGAAGAGAAAATAGCAACTTCGAGTACAGGACCCTGGCAGGCACCCCCCCAACTAGGGGTCAAGGCTGGAGCCACTGTGACAACTGGTCAGAAGGCACCTTGCCTCTGTGCTCATCCCCCCAAAATCAAATCCCAGTCTACTGATAACACTTCTCAGATAAGTCCAAATGGAGGGATGTGCTAGAAGACGCCTGACCCAGACAGGAGGCCACTGGGGAGCCGAAGATCAAACACAATAGGCTTCCCAGGTGGGGCTCCCCAGCAGAAAAGGGGCATGAGAGAGTCCAGTAGAACTGCAAGGAACAGTCACGCATCATGGCGGGCTTCTCAGTTCTGACAAATTCACCACTCAAGGTGAGATGTGAGTTGTTAGGGGAAGC